TTCAGTGTGTTAGTGAAAGTCGCCCTATATAATGGGCAGCAGCTGCAGCATTTCTTCAGTCATCCAGGCGTGGTGGGGGTCAGACGTGCAGTGCAGTAAAGTTGAGAATAATATTAAATGATCGTTCAGCTAAGCTCTAAAAAATTAGAGAAAATACTTGGAAGTAGTTCTTCGAGTAAATAGAGAAACCATTAGAGGAAATACTTAGAGAAAAAATAGTTGTTTTTTTTTTTTAACTTGATGTGAATTTTCGATTTATTAACCATCTACAAGTAAATAATTTAGTATTGAACGGGAAATGCACATGTAATTTGAATTTGATTAAGTAGTGTTACATCGAGCACAATGAGACTGGCTGGTGAAGCTCGCTCGCTCGCAAGCTTGGAACTGGGGACGACTAGAACGATGTGTATTTGAGGGCCTGGCGCAGAGTCATGCAGTCGACCTCATCAATCTTGCAGCTGTTCGCCTTGATGTTGATCTCCTCCTCCTGCATGACCTGAACATGCATGAGATAGCGCATCGATGCCTTGTTCTCGTTCAGCTTCTGGTTCAACTTGCAGACCGAGGCCTTCAATGCCTGGAGCTCATTGTAGAGAGCGTCCTGGACCATGTCGCAGGTCAACTCCAACCCAGGGCGATGAGCGCGATTGCTGAGACGCGTCTGGCAAAGGGTTATGGCCCTCTGCTTGTCGGTCATCTCGCGATCTAGCTCGCTCATGTTGCGCTGCACCTGGTGGATGTGGTCCATGGTGTCCTTGTGCTTGTTCTCCAGGCACTGCTTCACATGCTTCGTCTCTGCAATGCGACGCTCGAAGGCCTCATTGGTGCGATCCGTCTGGTTCTGCATATCCTCGCAGACCTGCTTCAACAGAAGATCAATATAGGCACGCAGCTGCCCGGCGGACACCAGAGCCTTGGCATTGGCCTCCAGATTCTCATAGGTCTGCGCCTGCCACTCAGTCAACGAGAATTGGCTTGGGAGATGGAAATACGGAACAGTTAAAATGATAAGTGAATACGATTGCAGACCTACCAGTGCTGCTTGGATAGATCCTGGCCCTTGCCAAGATCCTGCTGAAACTCCTTCAGCTTCAGATTCTTCTCGTCGATAGCCAGCGACTTGTCCTTGGCTGAGAGATCCTGATCCAGCAGGTACATCGCAGCACGCAGCTTGCGAATCTGCTCCTCGGCCTCCTTTAGAGCAGCGTCGGCCAGGCCCTGACAGCCCTTGATCACCTTCAGCTCGCGACGCAGCGAGCGATCCACCTCATCATCACAGAGATCCACACCAATGCGTCCCTCGCGTAGGATCAGGCACTGCTTGCAAATAGCCAGCGACTTATCCTTGAGGAACTCAATGGCATTTAGCACACGATTGCGATACGTGTTGAGCGTCTCATCCTCCAGCATAGCGGTCTTCTTCTGGCGGTTCAGCTCATCGACTAGAAAACGGATCTCACTGGTGCGCTCACGCATGTGATGCTCCACCTCACGCTGCCAATTCTTGGTGGTGTCCTTGGTCTCATCGACTACGCGACGTGACTCCCTAAGCAGGACAACAGAACAACGGGCCATGCAGTTGGAGAGACTATAATCTGCTGATCGTTGGGTTACTTACTCGACAATGCGCTCGGCTAGCTTCTCCTGGTCGCAGGTGATGCGGAACTTGATCTTGTTGTTGTAGTCCCAATCCTCCTCAGAGTACCTGGGCGGGCACTTGGCCACTGGACCCAGATGTTTGCTTGCCAGCTGCAGGCCCGTGATGCGACGCGCTTTTAGGTTCGGCAACATGGTGACGCACTGTCTCACAATGTCGTAACTCAATGTAAACTTTAGGTTGGTTTAATATAAAATAGATTTATATTATATTGCGTAAGATTTAATCAAACGAGGAAATTAACTGTTACGTATGCAATTCTGTATACACATGTACACTGCTCTAGGAGGTATGTGAGAATTTCTCTAAATATTTTTTTTCCTAATTTGAGCAAGTCCTGGCACACTTTGGTTTCGATTGAGCTTGAGAAATTGAGTACCTGACGACCTGGCTGACTGGCTCCGAATCTGTAACTACTGGGCTGCAGCTGCAGCTGCTGCTTCTCCAGCTCGAGGGTTAGTTTAATCGATTCATGCTAGGGAATTCAGCCGTTGCCTAGCGGTATTTATTATTTTTATGTTGGTATATGCTCCATGTGGACCTCTGTATGTGTGGTAGCCAGGGCAGCTGTGCCTCAGTGTGTGTGTTACCTTGTGTATGTCACCTGGCAATCCAATTGGGCACAAACGCAACCCAGGCCCAGGTGAACTTCTTTCTGCTGACTTCGGTGGCAGGCGCGACCCGTCCTTGCGGTTTTCGCCAGGCTACTTAAAAATAGCTATGCCTGACTTTCAAGCAGCTACCTCGATCGATTTATGCTTAACATACTTTCGCTTTTTTACCTTTTTTATTTGGCAATTGTGCAAAACTTTTTGTTTTTGCCATTTACTTATGCTAATCAACGCCAGCTGCGTGACTGACGGCCTGATCGATTGAGGGGGAGGTGGATGGATGGGCGTGGCACAAAAGTGTGTAGCTTTTTCATTCGTTAAAGACGCAATATACCTACATATATGATTATTAGGTACCATTGATTTAAGTCATTTCAGGAATGCAATATTTTTGGAAGTTTTGTTAAGAAATTTCACAAGAAAATGTTTCCTAAGGCAGAGCTTGATTATAATGGAGATATAGTTTATCTGAGGCCTTTTAAAGAGGAGGACAGTTATGTAGAGCTCGCTTAAAACTATATTTGTATACAGTTTATGAGAATATGTATTCCTATATTCTACATATATAACAATATGCAAGGCTATCGTGCAGCACAGTTTGAGAGGAATTGGATAGTAATTTAAATAACGAGGTAAGGTTTTGTCTTTATACAATATCTGCTACTAAGAGGCTCAAACCGGTTTATAGGAAAAAGATTTATATTTATATTTCTAGGTTAAAGCTTTCATGATATCATATACGGCATTAGATAAGCTACATTTCCTATATAATTTTGCTTTACTTACCTCTCAGTTAATTCGCCTACAAATAAGTTGACATTATATTTTAGTTTTTTTTTTTCTTTTTGTAAAATTTAGTTTGAATTTATTACGATATACATTTGTTGTTGTTGTTGCCATCATACATGAATGCATGCATATACATATATTTGTATATATAATATATATGTATGTATGTGTGAGTGTGTGTGTAGTCTGATGCATGTATATTTATATTATGCACTGCACTTAAATCTTAATGATAATAAAAATGTACAATTTAATTAACTAGGATCTGTTGATGTTTCTTGCATTATTAGTTGTCAGTATTTTGTTAATATATTTTATTTTTATTTGAACAGCGCTGTCTCTCTTTTCTGTTTGTTTCTTCTTCTTTTTGGCTTCTGTAGATCCAGCCATCCGTTCATTTCTGACCCCGTGATGCGTCTTCCGCTATGGCCTTGAAGTTGTTCAGAACTGGTTCGCTCGTGTCGCTCGGACTTAGTAATTAGACTCGCTTAATGTCTGGCACTTACAAAATAACTGTTATTATTATGACAGAGTTGCCAGTGCGATCGCGTGTTTGGCGCAATTTTTGTAATGATCTATTAACAATGAACTTGTATTTGAATCGTTTCTTGTTTCTTTTTGGTTTTCTGTTTTTCCTATCGCTCAGCCAAAACGTTTTAATTTATTTTTGTTTTTGGTTTTTTGTTTTTTTAATTATTAGCTCTGTGAACTGTACAAATGGCTAATTGCTAGAAATGTCGCATGCAGATCGTAACTCTAGAATTATTTGTGTTTCTCTTTTATTTCAACTACAATTTTTGTTTAGGCATATTCTTTTCAGTGGACCTGGTTGTTTTCTTCAATGTATTGCTGGGCTTTTCATTTCAATTGGTTATTTTGGCTATCTACGAATACAAACTGTAACTGTTTTTGTTTGTTTTTTTTTTTTTTGTATTTTTGTAATTTAATATTTTTTGTAAATTCATTTATTTGCTTTTTGTTGTTTTTATTGTTTTGTAATTTGTTACTAGTTTCTTGTTTCTTTTTTTTTTTTTTTTTTTTTTGTGTAGGCAGTGTTTTTCCTTCATTTAATATTTGTTTTTGGAGCTACTTCAATCTGTTTTTCTTTTTTTTTTTTTTACATATTTTCCTTAGTTTAGCACTTTTTTTTAATTTTATTTATTTTTTTTTTGTCTACTTCAACAAAGAAAAATAAGACATTTCTTACTCGATTTTTCATTTCAATTTCAATTTGTTATTGTAGCATACAATTAAGAAATAATAATGCAAAATTACATAAGAAATTAATAAACCATAAACAATAAACAAGTAAAGTTTTACAATTAAAAAAAATATATATATATTTATATTTATATATATATATATATATATATATATATATATATATATATATATATATTAATGTTATGTTTCCCTTCCGTATTTTTATCGTTTCTCTTTGCTTTTGTTTCACTTATTAATTTAGTTTAAGTTGTATTATCATTTAGTTGGTTTTTGCTGTTTTCTTTCTTTTCATTTTTTAACAAAAATAATTGCTTCTGAGGTATTTTCATATTTTTTGTTTAGTTTATATAAATATGTGATTTTGTTTTATACATTGTAAGTATTTAGTTTTTTAGTCGTTCTCGTTTTCAATAGTTTTTTGTTTTTGTAGTTGTCTTGTCTTTTTTTAAACAATTCAAAGCACCTTTTGATTATATTCGACATTTTGTTTTTATTTACTTTTTTCATTTTTTTTTTAATTTTATTTTATTATTATTAATTTTTTTTTTTTTTTTTTTTTTTTTTTGTATAGATTTATCAATGTTTGCAAATATCAATATTTGTTAAAAAAAAATAAATAAAATAAAATAAAAACAACTGAAACAAAATATAATCAAAGTACATACACATCTATTATAATATTTTAGTTTTGCTATTTCTTTTGTTTTTCTCTTGTGTTTTAAATATATATATTTTATTTATTGTTGTTGTGGCAGCGTTTAGCTTCTCAGTTCACATTTAATGTTCTTCAAATAATATGTATAGCATCATTTATGTCAACTTTTGTTGTTGTTGTTGTTGTTGTATTAATCATTGTTTTAAGAAATGCCTTATTTTAGTTTTGTAAACGTTCGAACAACTGAACTGCTTAAGAGAAAATAATAATTGCATAATAGTAATAATAATAGAAAGTTGCAGCAACCGAAAGCGAGTTTTCTTCATTAGGACAAACTATTAAATAAATAGAAAATCAAAATAGATATGCATATATATTAATATATATGTATATATATATATATATATATATTGGCTACGACTTTCACACTGGAAACCTTTGCATTTAGCTTCATATATTCAGTTTTATTATGATTAATATATATTATTAATATTAATTTTAATATTATTATCGTTCTTCGTTTTGTTGTTGTTGTTGTATGGTGTTTGTGTTTGCTTTGCTTGCTGCTGTTGTTGTTGTTGTCCTCTACTCTAACACACAAAGGTTCATTCAAAAAAATGCTAAATGGCTAAACAAGAATTTAAAGCTCGAATCTAAACAAAACATTATTTTTAAGAAGAGTTAAGACAAATAATAATAGAACTCAAAACGGGAAATTTTCAAAAGGAGCTCAATTAAACAACATAATTGTAATAACAAGTGTAATAATTGTTGTTGTTGTTGTTCTTGTTGTTGTCGTTATGTAAATGTATATGTTTTTGCATATATATATAATTATTATGCTTTGTATGTGTGTATACATGTATATATGTATGTTTGTAAAAAAAAAATCAAAAAAGTTTGAAGTGTACATTTGAACTAAATTGTGTAAACCTTTACCTATATAAGCATAAAACATAATCAGTAATTGATAAATATTTATACACGATCCGGAACTCGCTCCAGCTAGCTAACTCTCTCTCTCTCTCTCTTTCTCTCTAGTGCCTCACAATCTACACACATGTACATATTATATACATATACATAAACACTCATATATGTATATATATATATGTATATGTATCCTTTGTTATTCTATATAGTGGGCTATAGCAATAGCATTTGTTATGTTATAGTTATATAGTATATATGCATGTTATCTGTGTATGTGTCTAACTTTAGTATTTATGTATATCCAAACAAATAGGGGCCACTCGATCTGCCCCTCCCTCTCTTTTTCTCTGTGCCAATCTCGCATAACAAAAACAATTTCCGCTCGTCCTTCTCATCCGCCTCCTCATGATCTGTACGTCAATGTAGTAGTAACCTTTAGACCATTGGCAGTCCCTGCTGCACATCCATCATCTCGTCCTGCGCTGGCGACGGGCGTGGCGCGAATGTTTGCATATGATGCGGATGCGGCTGCTGGTGCTGATATGGAGGTGGGGCGGCTCGTGCATATATCGTTGATCGCTGCATCGCCGGCACATTGGGAGCTACATTCGCATTGGCGGACGGGAACTGTAGCCGAAAGCTATTGTCCGGATGCTGCTGCTGTCGAAGCATGCGTCTTGGTGAGCGCGCCGGCATGCGATTAGCCCGATGCATATCCTCCAGTATCGATGGCGCAACGTAGGTGAAACCCTGTAAAATATAAGAAAATGTTGCTGTCAATAAATATGTTTGCATTTGCCATTTTGTCTCTCTCTATCTATCTGCCGCTATTTGTCTCCCCCCTTGATTGATTGGCAATGAATTGGGAGCACGCCTGGCTGCCAGTGGGTTACCCGGGCGCATACTAATGCCCAGTCATACGGTCAGTACGAATTATGCAAGAAAGTGGACTGACCCAACTGCCTATGTAACACATTTTGCATAATTTTGGTTTGCAGCCAGCGTGAGAGACACTAATTAAATTTTGACGAAAGCCAAAAACCAAAAGAAATATAATAAGTCAAAATAAAACAAGGCAACAACAATCCACAAATGCAATAAAATAATTAAACATGCCGCCGGCTCGCGTGTAAACTCATCCGGCACGCCACAGAGGCTGCACTGACTGACTGGAATAAAACTGTACGTGAGCGCAATAATATAATTGAAAACCTCGATTTGGGAGCTAATCATCATCACCTTATAGCGTGCTGACCCACTAAAATTGTGGGCGAGCCGCGAGAAAGTTTTTGTACCAATACAATAATTGGGTTCTAAGTGCAGAAAGAATTTTCCAATTAGCAGCTACAGTTTGAGAGCCACTGTGCTCAGAGATATGAGCACAACTGCTCTCTGCTGTCTAATTGGAGGCGTAGCGAGCTCTACTTTTTATTGTAGTAATATATAAAGCGGCTTTTAAAAGTTACAGCACTATCTGCACTACTCTGAGCAATTAAACCGTCTTAAACAACAATAAAACACAAAACAAACGAAAAGCAAAGCGTAACGAATTTTATAAACAAATAGCAGCTGACTAGCTAAGTAGCGAAGTAGCGCAGTAGCTGAGCACCAACAACAACAGCACAGTTTTGGCTGCTCTCATCGCAGCTGCAATTAGCAGCCAGCAGAAGAGCAGCAGCATAAATAACAGCAACAACAACTGTTAACGCAACTCTCTTCGTCGGAGGCCAGGGCCACTTCGTCGTCACGTTCGTTGGCCAGTCGCAAAGAAACACTCAAACTGAGTGCACGACGACGGAGCCGAAGCAGTGGCAAACCCAAACCTCAAACCAACTTTCGTGTCTTATACAAAAAAGCCAACAACGTTTTTAAGCGCACTGTTTAACATAGAGCTCCCTTCCCTCTCTCTCTGCTACACACTTGCCAGTTTTTTGTATAAGGCGTTGTCGTGCCGTCTGGAGAAAGGCTTAGGCTGAAATTTGCACAAGAAAGACAAATAAAAGATAAAAAAAACTCCACGTTTAGTTTCACTATGCAAACACATTGACATTAATTCTTGGACTCGAATGAGCTGAGCTCGTCGCATCATTCGCCTTTCAGGGCTATCGGGTTCGGTGAGACAAAAGCGCCGGAGCCCAAATATCAAACCAGTTCAAGTGATTGCAGTTACAACAAAAATAACTAAAGCAGCAGCAACAGCTGAGTTAACGATAGACAGAGAGAGAGAGGGAGCGAGAGAGTGCGAGACGCAGACGCACGTGCAGAAAGCGAGAGCGCAGCAAAGTTAGCGTCGGCGACGGCGTCGACGTCGCGTGCTTATAATTGGGACAAGAACCGTTTTTGGCAACAGCGCAGCAGCAGCAGCAAAAGTTAACGTTGTTACAGTGATTGTCAAACTGCGAGGGCTGGCGACAACGTGCGTGCGCATATGCTCTAAAACTGTGAAATTGCATCATTTGAAATAATACAAATAAAAGCGACACAAAAGAAAAACAAAAATGAAAACTAAACCAATTGCCAACTAACAACAATGTGCAAGAAATCAGTAATCAAAATTGGCAAACAGTTGAATTGTGTGAAAACAGCAAAAGCACCAGCAACAACCATAAATTATTGCTTGCTGCTAAAATAAAAGCGCAGCATTGTTCGCCCGCAGCAGCAGCAACAACAACAACAATAACAATAACCACTATACATAAGAAGACTGTTTGTTTTGAAAAAAATGTCCAAACTGTTGAAAATCAATTCACTCTCGTTGCTGCTGCTGATGGTGGCTGCGATGCCCCCACAGCAACAGCAACAGCAACTGCAACTACAGCAACAACAACAACTGCCAGCAACAATTGCTGCAATGAGCAGCACGGCAAAAACAACAATGCTTTTAAATGCAACTGACAGCGCTGCCACTTTCATCGATAGCAACTACAGCAGCACTAGCAGCAACAACAGCAACAACAACAACAACGTCATGAGCAACAACATAAACAGCAACGAAGCTTCCACCGCCATCTATGAGCAGCAGCAGCAGCAGCAACAACAACAACAACAGCAACAGCCTGTGCAATATGCGCAAATAACGGCATTAGATAAAGAAGTAGGTATGCATACGGTATCTATTAGCAGTAGCAACAACAACAACAACAGCTTTAAAGGCAGCCGATCAGCTGTTGGACGTACTTCACATACCCTTACTAAGAGAGTATGATTAGCTTATCATGACATTGGTTGGTTATGTACATAAGTATATAAAATATACAATTAATATTTTTGACATGATTTTATTAAACTGCAATTAGGATTTGTTATTTAAGAACATTTTCTATGCGATTCACATGCTGTAGTAAGAGTGGATAAACTGAGCTAAGTTTCTCTATTCTCTATTTCTCTCTATTTACCTCCCTCTATTCTACATGCGACTCTCTATATACTGCATTGTAAACACCGCCTTTCTATGTGATTTTCAAGCATCTCAGATATTGAGCGGGTAAATGCGAGCGCAAGTGAGAGTAATTCAGCAAGTTTCAGCGAATGAGCGAGAAATATGCATATGTGAAAATAGAGAAAGTAAATAAAGTTTTACGCTCTTGAGAGCAACTTGAAGTCGACTAGAATTTCTGCAGTAGCTCGGCGGTTTTACTTGCTATTCAAGTGAAATTTTCGACATGATTTACTTGGATAACCGTAGGCCAAGTTTTCGGGCCTCTGCGACTGGCGGGGCTCCCGCCAAAAGTGTTGTTATACGGAACACAACAGTCAGTGGCCAATAAGCCAAGCAAACGAACACCAACCATGTCTTTGGCCAGGTGCTTAAATTGCAAATTAGCCACAATAACAACAACAACAACAATAACAATAACTAACTACGACACGGTTTACGATTGAGGGCGGAGGTAAGGGCAACAAATTGTCGGTACGTTAACGTTTTGTTGTTTTTCTTTTTCTGTTGTTTTGTTTTTTTGGGTGGTCACTTCAAGTGTGTGAAAGTGAAATTTATTACACCTGAATTTGAAAACGAACGAATTTAGAGCTAACCGTGGAGCAGCTGCCCACGAATGCAATGGCCGGTTTCGGCCGTCTTGAGTCTGGGTTGAGTAATAGCCGGAGCAGGCGAGATAGCTAATTAAAAGTGTGTTTATCTTTTATAATGAATCTCGATTTTTACCACTACGATTTTTACTCTCACGTCTAGTTGAACGGCTAATCAGGCAGTGGGCGCCAATCGTGTGGCTAGCGCCAGAGGAAAAATTCATGCCGCTGGGCGTGGAGGAATTCCTGCAGCATGTGCATCCCATGGATAAGGATAGTAGCTTCACACCTGGCATGCCCTTCAGTGAATACTCGACCAAATCGCATCTGGTGACCAATGGCGAAATGGAGGACCTGTTGAAGAACGAGCAGTCCTTCATCTACGGCCGCAATCCCAATGAGGCGCCAGTGCCCATTTATGGCGTGGTCACGTTGTGTCCACCTCCGCCCAAAAGAGAGCCAGAGCCAGTACCAGTACCAGTACCAATACCAATGCAACCTTTGGCCAGCACACGAGGTCCCTACATCCCTGTGTCCATTGATCCGCTGGAGGAGCGCAATGAGACGGTGCGACGCTCGTCGCGTCTATTTCCGTTGTTCCAGCGCGTGAAGCGAGAGGCACCTGGCAGGCTGGATTACGGCCCAAGGTTCGACTTCGATTTGATGGAGCAGACCAAGTTGACTGGTGAAGCCTTACCCGTGATGCCAATGGTAGAGCACCAGAAACAGCAACAACAGCAGCAGCAGCCAGAGCCCGAGATGGACAATGGACTGCCAGTGAATAATTTTATAGCCAATCTGGCAGACAATGTGAAATTCAGCGGTGGCGGTGATCTGGACGACAATATGGAGGACAACAACATTGGCGACTCACAGCCCCAAAACACAAAGAGAATCAAGGGCCAGCTGCCTAGCTTCCATGTCACCTATTGGATGTTCTACCCATATAGCCAGGGCAAGACCATGTGCACGCTGAGTCTGGGACCACTGGGCCACATTCCCTTTCCAGCTGTCTATGGATACTGCCTGGGACGTCGCCGGGATATTGGCAGTCATGTGGGCGACTGGGAGCACATGACATTGTACTTTAATGGCGACTCCGAGCCACAGGCCATGTATGTCTCTGCCCACGATGCGGGCGCCTACTACAGCTACAGCCATCTGACAGGCGCCTTTGAGTTCCGGCGACAAGAGACGCGCAAAGGCATTCTACAGCGACCCAATTTTCCCAAAACTGTAACAACATTTAATAATCATCCGGTGCTGTTCGCTGCCAAGGGCTCCCATGGCCTGTGGACGGCGCCCGGGAAGCATCGATTCGTTAAGGTCGCTCGGCTATACGACATCAATGGCTTCGGCACGCCATGGAACACTTGGAAGGCCGTCGACATAAGCTATAAGAACTTGCGCTCGCATGGTATGTACTCAAATACATCTCTTAAATGTGTATCTAATCTAATCTAATCTGTTTAAAACAGGTCGCGCTTTGGTTCCCGACTGGCTAACCTATCGCGGCAAATGGGGCAATCCCAAGAGCAAGTGTCATCCCTTCCGCCGCATTGGGCTCAACTTTTGCGAGTTCACTGACGGACCCACAGGCATTCCACTGAAGGAGCCGCACTTTCAATGCGGCGCCGACTATCGCTGATTGAGTTGGCCCCACTAGTGTTAAGATTATCTCTAGAGAAATATTTATTGTGAAAGTCCCAGCCCGCTTCTTACTCCCCAAATTCATTAAATATGGCCCGAGAAACGTAATTAGCTTTTGTTTTCTATAAGTTTTCTGAATATGGTATAAAACACGCTTATCTTCGAATGTCGCAAGAGATTTACGTAGCTTTCTATATAACTACTTTCAACTCTATAATTAAACTCCTAATCATTCATAATCTGAAACCCACATAAAGTGTTAGGTAAGATTTCGAGGCTCGATTAACACTTACTTGAAAAATTAAATTGACACTTTCGCTGAGCGTTGTATCATCCGGTGAGTCCACGGGAACTTGTCGTGTGAATCTTGTATCAAATTGGGAGACATCATCCTCACTTCGCTGTTTAGGTTGAATAGAAAACTCTTTGAGTCGATTGCTCAGCATTGATGTCGAATCGTTGGCTTACCAGCAGCGGCTTTATTGGTGGCTCTAGACGGCGGGCCAATACATCGTTCCAGTTGACATGCTTGAAGAATGGATGTGACTGCACTGCTGCAGCATCCTCAGGTCCACTGCCGAGTCGCTGCGGCTCCTGACGCTTCATCAGGCGTCGGACCAGATCCCTGGCTTCGGGTGTGAGGTAGGCTGGCAGATTAAGCTTGGCTTTAAGTATGGTCTCAATGGTTTTCTTGCGGTTATCGGCGGTAAACGGTGGCTGTAATACGATTTTAATTATGCTTTCGTTTTAAGCGATGATAAATAATTTATTATGACACCTACCACGCCCGTGAGCATATCATACATAAGTGCGCCCAGGGACCACCAATCGACGGCTTTGCCATGGCCACTTCTGGTCAAAATTTCGGGTGCCCTGTTAAGCAAAAGAGTTTCGGTTTTAGTTATAAATACGCCCAGACTTGGCAATAGTTCATTAATTGACGGGCGTGCACGCACATGTACTCAATTGTGCCGCAGAAGGTGTGGGTGACAATACCCTCTTGTATGTGCTCCTTGCACAGGCCAAAATCTGTTAGCTTTACGTGTCCCTGTGCGTCCAACAAAATGTTCTCTGGCTTCAAGTCGCGATAAATGATGCCCAGATTGTGTAAATGGCCCAAAGCCAAGATGATTTCACTCAAATAAAAACTGCAAGCACATATTAGTTACTATTTAATTCGAAGAAGCGAGTCAATTTGCAATCGCTTACCATGTGGTGTCCTCCAGAAAGATGCCCTCGCGTTCCAAATGCATAAACAATTCCCCGCCACTCAAATACTCGAGTATCAGATACAATTTGCCGTCTGTTTGAAAGGCATATACCAATTCCACGATAAACGGATGCTGTCAAGGTGAACAAATAATGTAATCAACAATAGTGCAGGGAGATCAAGTTCAATGAATTTCTATAGCATGTTCAATGTAGCTTCCACATCTAGCAGCTAGATTACCAGCTGCTATACCTGAGCAATAGCGCTTCCTCTTACCTTGACTGCCTCGAGTATGTTGCGCTCGGCTCGTGTGTGCGCCGTATCCTTTTGATTGGTCACAATGGATGCCTTTTTCAGCACCTTCATGGCAAAATATTTGTTAGCATCACGTCCAGCGGTCTTGCGCACCTGTTGAGCGAAAGATGAAGAGGTGTGAAAAGGTTTCGCATGGATTTACACCTGAAATATACCTGAAATACTTTGCCGTAGCCACCTTTGCCCAGCACTTTCTTGAGCTCGAAATCCTTCGGGCCCAATTTAATTTTGCCTGGATTGACATTCTCCTCGGAGAGCTGTATGGTTTCCTGGCCTTCATTGCTGTTTTGCGGTAGATAAAGATACAGAGGGCGAAAGGTAGAGAGAGAGGAGCAAATTTACAGACACGATTAGTTTAGTAAATGTGTTTTAGATTTAGTGTGCATCGCCGCTAGCGTGGGAAATGGACAACCCACGCGTTCTATAAATAAAAACGTTGGCAAACACGCGCCAATTGGCGCCCCCAAATCCCATAGCAGTGCCCACCCCCTCTCAGCTTGGCCAACTACCAGCTCACTCCATCAACATATCAAGTGTTTGTACGCTGACTGGCTGGCGGCCTGGTGGGCTGGCACGGCTGGCATATTGCCCATTAGACGAGCCAACAACAGCTTGTTGGTAGGTAGTCAATTGCCAGTTGTAAACACTTCTGCCACATGACAAAGCTAGCCGTGTTATCAGTCGCAGTCGCAGTAGCTGCCGCCGCCTGTCGCCGCGTCAGGTGTGCCTTCTGCCCCGATCGTAATATGAGTGCGTGTGTGGCAATTAATACATTGCCCAGCCCAAGCAGATTATCATCCAGTCGATACTTGGGAAATGGCTATTATAGGAATGGGTATTCCCCCTCCTCCTTCTACCAATAACATTTACTCGGTTGTCGTTCTCAGAAGAGAATTACGTCGCGTATCGAAATCGCAGTCCCATCCCCGCCAGCGGACATAGCATTCGAATTACTCACTCTTGGTGTAGGTTTATGCTCAATTCCGGTTCTAGATCGACCTGCAAAACAGACAGAGAGAGAAAAAGAGAGAGAGAAAGGAAGATAAGAGAAGAATCAACAATATGCAAATGAGTCACAGACATGTAAAAACTTGAATGATTAGTCAAGAGGTTGTAGCAAATGCCCAATGTAAATAGTTTTAAGATACACAGACTGTGGACAAACGGAGATAAATGAGAATTATTGGAGTTATAACTAAAACTGGTCCGATTTTCATATTAGAGATTTAATATTGCCTAAATAAGGCTGTTAAATCTATACACTAAATGTAGATCCTTTCAAATTGTATGTAGAGCCCGCTGCACCCAATCACTCGAAGCTATAATAAATATGTGTGTTTCTTATTAGATCACTCCTATGAGATCATTCTCAACTTAGACTTAAGAGAAACAGCATCCACATTTAGTTAAGCTTAAAGCTTTTAGGATTTTGGTAAATGATCTTTGAGGAAAGTAGCGTCTACCGGGAGCCGGGCGAAGTGTCTTAATGACAGAGACAAATTGTGATGCGCTCTTTGTTCAGAGAAAGTGTTTTGGGGCAGAGAAATCGTTAATCGCGGCAACGCCGACGCAGAACGAGGCGTATAAAAATTCCGTTTAGCCTCGGGCGTAGCGTTCGCTGTAGATCGCCAATGTATACATGAGTAAATACGCTTGTATTTATATGTATATGTATGAGTATATAAGCCAGACACTTCTCCACACACATGCACACCTTTTCTCTTTAATGACAAACTAAAATTAGAACTCGGAATAATGCCAAATACTCTGCCGGCTATTCAGCGGCTGCGGATGCTGCCGAGACGTTTGTTTCTCCGTTTAGGGGCGAGACTTGGAGACTTGCTAGGCAGCATCTCAGTTTGGAATCGCAAGGGGAACTCGTCATTATATGCAATCTATATATATAAATATATATACACAAATAATTACATATAGTTAATGATATACGTGTGTATGTATATGCGGGTGTTGCAAGTAAATCCATTTTACTGAAACGACAACTGCTTCAAGCTTCGCAATGCTGGCGCCGAATTTCAATTAACAAATCAATCATAATTTATAATATCCACATTTCGAGGGCGTGCGCCTGCTCAGACTCGGCAGTTACAAGTACTTATGACATTTGGGACAAAAGGCAAATATTGCAACACATTGGCGACTAGTACATACCCTAGCTAGAGCAGGAATTAATTAAAAGACTTAAGAAGTCTATAATATCCACTTTAAAACGTTTTCAATGGGTATACACCAAGCTCCCCAATTGCATTTTCAATTGACACGAAAATGAATACAAAATAAATAGAGCTGCACACGCGGCCGATCGACACGATTCCATCCGTTTTTTTCATTCTTTTTTCTGTTTTTTTGATTAGTTGCGCCTTATCAGCAAAGTACAATGCCGTTTTATTTTACTTTTTTCGTTTTCCAATTTTGTTTTATACCCTGATAAGATTTTTCATTCCCTTTTAAGTGGGAGTTTAGCTTTAAATGAAGAAGAGCGAATGAATGACTCAAGACCCAGAGGCAAATTTAAGCATGAAACACGCACAGTCATGAACATTCTTTTGCAACGCAAATCAAAGCTTACTCTATTTAATGACATCAAGATTTCATGAACAACAACCCCAGAAAACCCTTTTATATAACAACTTAATAGCGCTTGTTTGGGAATGATTCCAGGCGAATTATCTCATAGTGTGTCAAGTCAAGACAAGTTTAGAGTATCTAATCTTCGACAAATAAAAGATAACTGTTTTTCCCTGCTCAGCTGACAAACATATATACTTATATATAATATGAATATAATTTCCAAGAATTTGCGTACTCAATCTATGAAAATGAGACCATTCTACTGCCAATTCAAAACAAGAGGTGTTGCACCTGGTACGATTGATACTAGTCTGTGTGCATTTGTGTATGAGTGTGTGTGTGTGTGTGTGAGTGTGTCTCAATGTGTGTATGGGCGTAAGTAATTGATACTGATTATTTTTTGAAGGACATTTGTGTATAGCGCGATACGATTGCCCAATGTTGCAATCAAATTGAGCGATAATTGCTGAAGAATATATTTCACAAAGAATATATGGAAAACTTTGCTGACGCCGCGCTTGGCATCTGAGGTGGACTTTTGCGCAGCAGATAAGACGCAGAGTTCAGTGCCCAAAACAGAGGAAATATTTCCTTCTGTTTTTCTCTATGTTCGGGGGAAGGGGACCCAGACAAAGCGAAGAAGGTAAACAAAGAGAAAACTCGTGCGTGCAGCACTTGAATGGGCGGGCAGGCAGCGGGGTTGGGCGAGAACAGCAGGGTACAAGGGTGGGTGGTCTGGTGGCCTGGTGCTGCGTAGTTAATTCTGTTACTCACATCATCTAGTTCGATCCTGTCGTCGTCCGAGTCTCGCGCTTTTTCATCCTCGTGCAGCTCGAGATCGAAGAGTTCACTTGTGTCACTTACGTCCGCCATTTGTCGTTGTGTTTGTCGTCACGCACACGCACACACACACAAGCACGCACACAAGCGCAAACACAGCCAAACACTATGGTTTTACTTTTTTTTTTTTTTTTTTGCTCTTGATTTTACTTTTTCAATTGAATTTGTTGCTGCCTCTGCTGCTGCTCAAACAATACGGAAACAGACCAGAGCAGCGGCTGTAAGGGAAACGACGAGACGCACTTTCCTGTCAATGCTGTGATTTGATATTAATTTTGGCTTACTCGGACTGATGCGATGCGATGCGGCCCGAAGGTTATTTGTTTATTAGTTAATAGAATATGAATGGAAACTAAGGCGCAGCAGCAGCAACAGCAGCAGCAGAAGCGGAGCGCCAATGCCACAGCCACACAATGCCAATACACACGCACGTACACGCACACACAGAGACGTCTACGCGACCATGAGACGCATATAGAGGCGCCCGTAAGTTGCTGCTCGACGCTAGCCCACACGCGCGCTCACGTAGAAATGTTGAAATTAAATTAAATGTAATTTAATAACAATTAAAATGCACTTTTTCTTTGTTTGCAGCCAGAACACGAGGTAAGTTGGGACAGCGATTGCACTATTTGCTCCTATCGATAATTGACAAGCATCATACCAGCGTTATCGATGCCTACGAACAAATTGTTTCGATACGAATATAATCGCTGCGATGAATCGATACATCGACACACTTATGCTGGCACGCTAGCAAAACAAAGCTGGCAAATTGATTTCCAGTTTTCTATTGCAATTTTTAATCAAAAAGTAATGTGCACTGGATCGCCCAGCAGCAATGGCTCGCAAGCTGAAGAGAGCAGTGAAAATGATAACCAACAAGAACAGCGCTCATCTACGGAACAAGAGCCAGAACAGATTCAGAGCACTGCAATCGTATCGAGCACTCCCGAAGAAGTGCTCGCCGATTATGGTGAAAATATAAAACTGCTTACATTAAACTCCCAAGTTGCCGAGCTGCTCACTATTATACGCGACAAGTAAGTATCTGTTAAGCTAAATTGGAACTCGATTGACAATCCATACTTACATTATACACAGAAATACTACGCGAAGCGACTTCAAATTTTATGCAGACCGGCTAATACGGCTCGTCATTGAGGAATCCCTCAATCAGTTGCCCTACACGGATTGCGATGTCGAAACTCCAACGGGTGCCATCTATGAGGGTCTGAAATATCGCTCCGGCAACTGTGGTGTGTCCATCATACGCTCCGGCGAGGCCATGGAGCAAGGATTACGCGACTGCTGTCGCTCGATTCGAATTGGAAAGATCTTGGTCGAATCGGATGCCAATACACATGAGGCACGCGTCGTCTATGCACGTTTTCCCGATGACATTGGCAGTCGCCAGGTGCTGCTCATGTATCCAATCATGTCAACGGGAAATACTGTACTGAAGGCTGTAAACGTACTGCGAGAGCACGGCGTGCCAGAGAAATGCATTATATTGTCGAATCTGTTCTGCACGCCCGCTGCCGCTCGTACCGTGGTTACTGCGTTTCCCAAAATGAAGATTCTCACTTCGGAGCTGCATCCGGTGGCGCCCAACCACTTTGGCCAGAAATACTTTGGTACTGACTAGACTACGTAGCCACAACATTAAAAAGAAAGCAGAGGCAGCGACAGCTCCTAGAATTGACGACTAAGTTCTGCTTAGGATAGGTAGAGTTGGTTATCTTGTCCATCCCAACCAAATCCTATTTAGTCCTACTAACCTATATTTTGTTAAATATGTTGTTTAGTTTTCTTACTAAAACTTCTCTCTCCTGCTCTAGATGTCATTTAAATCGGATGAGGAGAAGGATGCGGAGCTCAACTACCATTGAAATTATTAGCCCCATTTCATAATTGGCTTTTGATATAATTCGCAAATATGTGATTTAACTTATGTAAATAGAAACAAAATAAATATTACAAATTTATCATATCACTAGGAGCTCATTTTATAATTGACCACCGTGTCAACCTTGTGCAAGCCCGTGGAGAACGAACGCAACTGCACCGCCTGTGCGTTCTGTATAAATACAGCGCCAGTCTCGTCCCACTGTGCAGGTATCTCAGTGTTCTGTAGGGTATGGATCATCACATCGAAGGTGCAAATGCAATCGAGCAAAGGTAGATAGCTAACAGTTGCTGATATCTGCCGCATCACATCTCTAATCTCGTTTTGTATGCGGCTCAGCTGTTTTGATGAAGTCTGCTTGCTGGGATCCTTGCCATCGCTATCGCCATCTCCAACTTCCGCTTGCATCTTAAAGTCCCAACATTCAAGAACTTCCTTAGTATGCGCATTCGTAATGACCATTGAAATTTTGTTAATCATGTTCTTCGAAAGCCATTCTACAGGTTAATGAATATATATATATATATATATATATATAAAACTTAATTAAGCTAACCTTCAGTTTGCTTCAGAACATTCTGTAAAAATGTTGTGATCTTCGGATCCTTGGACATTAGTATAGTCAAACCATATTGTTGCGTGCTATCAAAGTTCTCGGCTGGGTAAATACCACGTTGGAATAATATCGAATTGATGCCGTATTCTAATTTTGCAAATAAATAAAGGCAGGACGCCATTTAGATCGCGCTTTTTTATAGGCGTCGTTGTTCCTCTTGTTGTTGGTGTTTCTATACTTACTTAAGTATTCGACAATTATTTGGGCTGAGCCTTTGAGCGTGATACAGTTCTTCGTTGCTTGAGCTGTTGACATCTTGGCCAGCGATCTTTATTGAAATTGACAATATCTAACTTTTTATTATATTTTAGCCGCTATTTTTTGAAGATCTCTTCACAGTTCGTTCTTGAACTAACTAGCAGGGTTCACAGAATCAGTCACGAAGCGACACGTTTAACTAGTTCGATAGTTCGATATATATGAAACAGTTGTCAAAAAAATACCAAAAGTACACTTGATATTTGAAAACGCTACATTTTTATCACCAATAAAACTAGAATTAAAATCAAATTTAATAGCCACTATATTATATTAAGAGATATCAAATGATTTTATTGTATTGGCAACAATTTCGTTCTTGAATGAATCAGTCATGCATCATCATTGTTTAGCAGCTCATAAGCACGATAAAAAGGCGAACGATTAGACCTAGTCGATAAGTTTAACTGGTACCGAAAATATCGAATTTAATACCAAGCTTTTGGCGCAATTTAAAGATAATTCAAAAATAAAATTCATAGCCAGCGTTATTCTTGCAACAAATATATGTATTTTATTAGCCATATTTAAATTATTTTTAATCATGAGATCCATGTTTGCTACAAAAATGACTTTTTGCATGACATTAGAGCTTATTTCGCATTGCTTCTCATCCAGCGGTTGCTTTGATTGTTGCCAAAGGCCATATTGTAAGTCGAACCTGTCGAGAAATCAAGTATATTCATAATTGCGATTTATTTTATTCCATTTTTAGAAACAAAAGTCCGAAAAAAAGAAAAATCAATAGCAAATTTTTGTTTTTGTTGTTTCATAATTGTTGTAATTGTTTAGCTATAAATAAAAATTTAATAATTATAAAAGAAATAAATTTGTAAATTGTGAAGTATTTGCAAATTTTTAATGACATTTTTTTCTTACGCATCGTTTTTTGTTTTTCAATTAAAATTAAACTTTACATAGTATTTTTGGTATAAATCTTTCAATAATTAAATTAAAAATTTTCACTTAAATTATTTAAAAATAATCTCTTCATCCAACAGAATTACAAATTCTTTTCTCAACATATACATAAAAAAATAATTAAGCTTGCATTTTACATTACAATTAAAAAGAAACTATAAAATGGGAAATAATTGAAAGTTTCAAAATTAAGTATTTATGTACGAGTACTTAGATAATAAAGTTTTAAATTATTATTTCATAAAATACAAAATAAATTATGGTTAAGCTCTTTTTTTTTTTTTACGATTTTATAACTTAGTAGAAATGTACATGAAACTTATTGTGAATTATAACGAATATAGAAATATATATATAGATATATAAATATATGTATATGTATATACATGGTTTATTACAAGTTCATGCTATATATGATTTATATATTTATATATGTATAAAATATGTATATATATATATATATATATTTATTCATATATGTCTATGGTACAACAACAAAAGCGCAACAATTTCAGTGTCAGGGTCAATCGCTATATTTTCTTATCTTTCATCATGTAATTTGTTAATTTTTTTTTAGTTCTTCTCACAATACAAAGTAAATAAATTCCGATTGCAATTTTCATACACAAAATTCTGTCACCGTGCACAAACGCCAAAAAGTATCAGAAACTTTCAGTCTGCAGCAGTTTAATTTGTATTTGTTTTGAAGTTATTAAATTTAAATTTTCTTTTTGTAGTTGCAAGTAATTTTGGTAAATTTTTATCAATTTTCAAAGTCTTCTAAATTTTATGTGTATATTTGTGAGTATTTGTGTCTGTGTGTGTGGCAACAAATTGTAGAATTTTTTAAACATAATACTAAAAAAATTACATTTGTCGGCGTTGGAGTGCAGGGAGTTTTTGTTTTTGCTTTTTTACTTTATTTTAATAAAAATTCTATGCATTAAAATAGTTATTATTTAAGGTATGTTTTTGGCCGTAGATTGCAACACATTATCTGTGAAGAGATTAAATCATAAATAAAAATTAAAAATTAATTCATTTTTCTCTTAATTTTTGTTGTTGTTTTTTTTTTTTCATAATTAACTGCCCTAATACCAAACAAATAGACAACAAATACTAAAATGAACTAGCGCTCAAAACAGATTCCGTTGCGAACCAAACAAGTTTATTCATGCATGATTTTTAAATAAAATAAAGCTTCTCTTTTGCGTTATGTAGGAAGAAGTAATTAAATTTAAAAGTAGGAATACAAATAGTGGAACAGAGGTATACCAAAACAAAAAACAGGTAAGAGGAAGAACGCAAAAGATTAGTCAATAATTATTATTGATAAACAACCACCAGATAAATAATATTGTAAGGAGAGCGTATGATATGTTTTTTATTTGTTTTAGATTTTTTTTTTTTTGGGGTTTTGGTTTTGTCAAAATCTACAGCCAAAGTGTTAATATATTGTTTCATAGTAAAAAACAAAATAAAATCTGTGTACGTGTACTAATGAACTAAATTAATTGCAAAGAAATAATTATTGTTATTCAATGAAGTATCATGTCGTTACATCGCATCGAGTTTTTTTTTGTATATTTTTTATTATTTAAAATTTTTTTTGTATGTTGCAAACTACAAAAAAAAATTTAATTTATCGAAAACAAAACAAAATTTCGGTGAGTGCTTTTTCGGTTTTTTATTGCGGTGACTGTACTTTGGCGACAGCTATTTGATAGGCTGAATAGGGTTGCCATATGTTGCAAAGAGTAACTAACTTAAGAGAGCCTCTGTTTACTGTTATATTGTTATCGTTATCTTTATCGTTATCGTTATATGTATATAGGTATTCCATATGAGTGTAGGCTGCGCCAATTGAATGATTCGACAAGTATATTTCAGTATTTGGTAGGTATTCTGTTGTCTATGTAATTATTTTTGACTGATTTTAAGTCAAGTGAGTTGCATTCTAATTTAATTTTGTTTTGATTTGTTTGGTTTTGTTTTGTTTTTTGTTGTTGTTGTGTAAATGGAAAATCAAAATTTGTATTTCTTTTTAACATTTACTTTATAGAGAATATTTGTTTAAGCTTTTTTCGTTTAAATAAAAATAGTTTTGTCTATATGTAATAATTATTTAAAATAAACCTTCTATAGCACCATTTGTTTTTATTCGCATTATAATATATATATTGTTTATTTTTAATCCATTTTAGTTTAGTTTAGTTTGGTTTTTATATAATATTATTTTCATTAAAAAAAGAACAAACTTTTGTTAGATTAAAGACTTTGCATTGTTGCTTTTTGGAATGTGTTTTCTAATAAAAAAAAAGAAAGAAAATAGAAGATGAGCTCAAGTACTGGATAAAAGTTATGAAAGTGGCGTAAGGAGGTAATGAGATTTTGATTTTATTGAATCTTAGGATTTGATTGAATTTCCTGGTATACTCTGTATTTGTACTTTGCGTGTGTCTGCTTGTGTGAGTGTGTGTGTTATCAACTATATTTGGTTTATACATGTATGTGTTATTCGATATACTATAATCATTCTCTTTAAAGATTTGGTTAACTGAAAAATATTTGTTTTTATTTTTATTTTATTAATATTTTCTTAGTTTTTATTTGTTTTTGGATTTGGTTTATCTGTAACTCGATCTAAAACAATCGATGCTATAGAAGTGCCTATTTTAGCAGTAATACCCTCCATAATACTCGTTGCCACATTTGGGATAATTGATGTACGTACTGTCGGGATCAGCGTACTCGCAGCGCTCCCCATGGTATCCATCCGCGCAACTGAAAGTTCAAACACACACAAAAGAAAGAGAAAGAAGATGCATAAGTTAAAAATTGAATTGTATTATTATTGATATTATATGCGATGCAAACACTTTAGATCTTTGCCAAAAAAGAAAGAGAAAAAAAAGACAGAATTAAGTATACAGTACATTTAGATGGCCATGAACCGTGTTCCAGCATTTCCCTCACATAACTTAAGTATAAACAGAGGCAACAGGGAAAAAACAGCATCAAAAACGAAGCCAGCAAATTTAATTAACAATCTTTTACTCTTATTTTTTTTTTTACTCTCTCCTATATGTATATATGTTTTTAAAATATATTTTTGCAAGTCTAGCACTCAAAACAAAAATGGTTTTCCACAGACCAAAAACGAAAAAAAAAAAAAAAAAAAAAAAAATCAGAAAAAAAAACTAGACAGAACGTTGCAGTTGGGTGTAATTGACTGCATAATACTCGTTCAGGATATTCAAAATTTATATTTTGATTTCAAAGAGCGTTTTAGGATGATCCTAAATCAAAAGGAGAGTTTATTAAAGGAGCTTAACTTTGTTCCTAACTTGGGAAGATTAACTCTAAGCTGTAATTGATATTGTTTTATATCGGATAAGAATACCGTCTCGCTCAGACAGACAGTTAGCAAGACAAACATTGCTTAAAAGGCAATATACTCTTTTCACTAATTGAAGGAGAGGCGCCGAGTACAATGCGCTTTTTGGGGGCTGCGAGTGAATGGAATTGGATTGGTTTACATATACAAGTAGATATATGCGTCTTGCATACTCACACATACAGAGACGCACACAGGCACATACACACACACGCACGCAGAACGTGGATAATGTATAAAACGAGGCGCCGAAAGACATTATTCACATTGCTAAGAGTGTGTGTGTGTGTGTGCGAGTGTGTGTTAGTATGAGTTCGTGGAGTTCTGATCCTACAGTTGAGAGAAAATTTCACTCGTTCGTGTAATGCGATGCCAAAATAAAAAAAAATAAAACAGTTTTACTCAACAGTTTCTCAAGTGCTGCGCCTCAGCAGATCTCTAAACGGACTTTATCAGCTGTCACAGGTTTTATCACAGTGCAGCCACTTGACATTGGGTTCGATATAGAGCAAGCGAGAGAGAGAGAGAGAGAGACTGTGACAGAGAGGGAGGGGATAAGTGAGGGAGGAAGCAGATGTATGGGGAGTAAAATAGATTTTATGTCAGTCGATGTTACGAATCTCTACTTACTTGCAATATAACATATTTATTTCCAATATGAATCTGCAGCTGCCGCCATGAAAGCAATAATTTTCATCACATGGTTTTCCCTGGTTGTGATAATCCGATCGAAATGGAACTATAAGAGAATATATGTATATGAATATGAATATGAAAACGAATATGAATATGAATATATAGATATAGATATAGATATAGATATGTAATCAGAATTGAGTCATCCACTCTGTTGCTTTACAAGACAACATGCATGGTTTGTCGCCTTCGAATGTGGCCATAAATTAGAAATGAATTGGAGCGCCAGCCAAAACATGACAGACGCACATCAAAGTGCCAGAAAGATCGAGAGAGAGAGAGAGAGAGAGAGAGAGAGAGAGAGTGATAGGCTGTTGAAGGTCTTACCTGGATGGGCATTGATCATGATGCGTCGCTTGTCGATCGTATTGCTAACTTTGTTCTTGGCACGGCATTCGTATTTCCCCGCATGGATGGAGCTGTTAAAGTGGGGCACAATCAGCTGGGAACGTCTTCTGCAAGGCAAACGAAAGATCGAAAGACACATATATAGAGAATTATTTAACACACACACACACACACATTCGACAGATTTGTGGCTCACTTGTGATGCTTGAATTTATAAACTTGGTGTTTGCCATTTATTGACTTGTCGTCCTTGAACCAGGTCACCTTCGGGGGCGGCTGGCCCTCCACTTTGCATGTGATGCGCAGCCTCGCGTTTTTAGCTATTGTCGCATTATTTGGCTCAGTTGTTATCGATATGATCGATGCGTTCTGTGCTGTAAGAACAACAAGAAAACCCATAACAAGTTTAAACATAATTCTTTGAATTTTACCCAATATTTAGTTTATATATAGCTATAGGGAGAAAAAGAGAAATAGAGATATGTCTAGTGAACGTATCTTAAATTCTAATTAATTCGAGATTGTTTATGCGAAAAAAGTTGAAAATCGTTTGTGCCCAGCCGCCATAAACAACATATCGTCTTAGAAATTAATGAAATTCTTTTTTCACTCTTTGCTTTTTATAAGTTCTTTTTATTTGCATTTTATGGACGTCGCGTCTGCAGAAATTGTTCAACATTTTGTTGTTAAACGTAAGTTGTTTATGATGAACTTTGCGATCGTAAATATCAGAATATGACGTGAAATCATTTTCAAGGACTAATCACATGCACTAGATATACATAAATATATGATGTATATAATTTGAGTTTAGTATGGGGTAGTACTACACAAGTGTGTATAGGGAGAGGATTGGCCTATCGTTCATAAAGGATATTGAAAGAATATTTTCATATAGGCAGGGGAGAAGAAGATTGGCTCGAGTGGGATATTCAGATAAGAAATATAATAGAAGATATTAAAATAATCTTATTGTATGATTTATTTAAGAGATCTCTTGTATTGATTAATTTATATATGTATATTCATATTATTCATATATATATTCATTGAATTATAGTTGAAATTGTTTCTTTTCAGAATCATTGATTCGCTGCACGTGCTCGTTGCATTGTTAGCTCATACAATTGATATATGTATGTATATGTTTAAGCATTCGATTTATATTTAAGTTTTGCCTAATTAACGCATGTTGCACAAATCAGCCAATTGCAGATGGGCCAATCGTTCAGTCGGGGAGCGATTGCCAAAAAGTCTCCCTCGCACTCTGCCGACGCTGAGTCATAAGTGTCGACAATTTGGCAATGAAACTGTTGGCCCACTTGCCACGCCCACAATGCAATGTGACAGCAAATTGGCTTTACTTAAATTAGCCGGCATCTCACGTGTCTGGGCGAGAGGGCGGGGGCGGAGGCGTGTCTGAAGGGGCGTGCATCACATGATAATTGCGTATTGCGTGAATGAATGAATCATTTGCACAACCAAAAAGAGAGACAGAGAGGGAGTCAGATTGAAGTGAGAGCGAGAAAGAGAAAGAGACAATTGGTCAATTACCAAGTATTTTCTAACAACAATTTTCTATTTTCTATTTTCAATTCTGAATTCTTTTTTTAAATGCATTTTTTAAGCATTGCATGTGAACAGAATTTCTTATTTATTTTATTTTTTGCATGATTATGCAACTCACGCGAATTTTTCCAGCTAAATGAATAATCATAATGATATTTATAAAGCGAGAGAGAGAGAGAGAGAGCCATCTGAATATGTACGTACATACACATATAGATATATGGTTTATACTATATATATGATATATAATATCTGTTTAAATCACTGAGCTCTATTTATATATTCAACGAGAATTTTGATTTGATTTAATGCTAAGCGAATGTTAATTTATGCGTCTCTCGCGTGGCTCGCTTGAAAGGAAAATGCTGCTAAATATTAATTCTATAAGATGTTGTTATATATTTAAACATAATTTATTGTTTATAATTTATGAATTTTTAGCGTATTTTTTGTTGTGGCCAATGCGACGGCACATAAAACCGCATTTTAATTGTGCGCGTCACTTTCTCACGCTCCCAAATTGGTTGGCGGCGGCTCTCTACTCTACTCGTCTCTATGCCCTTCCCTTTCCCGCGCTCCCTTCCTCCAGTAGACGCTGTCTCTTTCGCGCTGAGCTGTGAAGGAGCTACATGCCGAATAATTCGACAGAGAAAAAAGCAACTCACAAATGGCTATGGACAGAAGGCGATTAAGAATTGAAGGCAGCACGCAAACAAGTTGACAATTGTCATGCCCAAAAGTACCCCGCCTCATCGAAAAGGGGGCGGAGCGGGGCTGGGCAGAGGGAGGGGAGCGACTGCCCCCTCTTCGGCACGCAGTTGCCGGTCGAAGCCTTTTTTTTTTTTTTTTTTTTTTTTTTTTTGCTTTGATTCACAATGAAATTCGAGGCATAATAATAAGATGAACATTTTATACGCGTTCCTCCACCTCCTCCTCTTTTTTTTTATACATATATGTATTTTGATATTTATTAATATTTTTTCTTCATAATTTTTTGATTTGCTTGTTTTTTTTTGTATATTTATTTTGGCATATCATTTCAGTTCTTTGTTATTATGACTTAATTATGCGCTTAAAAGATGATTATCGAAGTGCTTTGGCGGTTGAGTATGCCATGATATGGGGGCGATCCATTGTGGAATACACTGAGAAAGCTAGTTAAAAGTCAAGTAACTTTTTCAATCAGCAAACACTATAAGACCTTCATATCGCACCTCCCACAACGGGACTGAGCCGAGCTCTCGACTGGCGCTTAAACACTCTGATTGAATTACAAAGTAAAACTCGTTTTAAGTCTAGCTATAAAACTCTTTTAATCAGCGAATAATTATATATTTAATAACTTTCTCATTTGGCAATGATTAATTCCTATTAATTTTAACTGTTTAATCAAATTTTTGAGAATTGCGAAGAGAGGCCGTGCAACCTGATATGAATATAAAATACATATAAATCTGCTTAATACCTTTCTCTAGTTGTAAACTCTTAAAAGATAGTTTTACTCAAATTCAAAGCTCTTTATTTCAAATTTAAACTGTCCTTCAAATATATGAGAATCACAGAGAGAGGCTATGAAACTTGATATGAATATTAAACAGTTTCTATTGCTAACAACTGTTAACTGCCTGTGAATTCTAGCCTGAGATTTGCAAAGAGAGGCCCTGAAATTGGATATGCGTGCAATTATTATTATTTTGTTTGAAATGATTTTGCTGGCAGAGCTCATTGGCCTCTTAGGAAGATGCTGCTGGGTTGTTTTTTGGCTGTCTGTGCGTCAACACTACGTCAAAGCCGCAGCTGCTGTCGCGCCGCGCTTCCGGAAAAGTCTGGCATAACAACTGCGACAACTAGGAATCGAAAATAAACGGAGAGGAAACGCTGCCAAAGCAGACGCAGGAAAACTGTCGTCGTTTTGGCTGCTGCCTGTCGACGATTTTAGCACACAGGAGATGGCGGCGACGTACTCGCATTAAAATAACTTTTCACAAATATGTATATATGTGCTCATACATATACATATATATATGTAAGTGTGCATATGAAACATAATAATTTTTCACGTTTGTTTGTTTTTGCTCAACTCAAGTTTTTGTGCGCTTTTCCTTCAAGCGTGACGCCTCAATGATTCATGCAAATCCATCAAAAAGGAACAGACTGAGAGAGCTAGAGAGAGAGAGAAACTGTGGGCGACTGAGGGAGATAGACAATGGCGACAACATGTGGTTTTAGCAATGGACCGGTGCCAGCGGAGAGGTAGGGCGACTGCGAATCGTTACGTTTATTAAGATTTTATTGAATTAATAAGCAAATTGCATGCGACACGCTGAGTGGCGCCATCTGTCGTCCAAATTGCATTCAATTTGCATACACGAATGTACTTACTATGTATGTATGTATGTATGTGTGTATATGTTTGTATACTACTATATCATTGTTCTCAGTGAGCTTAAATTCCCAAAGATTTCACTTAAGCCAAATTAATGAAATGTGCAATGTGAAATGTTACTTATTTTTATTTTATTTTTTTAGCTCTTAAAAATATGAATTTCGAATTTCGTTGTCGTGCGCTGAAAGACATTTTATTTTGGCAGCCCCTCTCCTACTCGCACTCTCTCTCTTTCTGTCTGTCTCTCTCTTTCTTTATGTTTGACCCACATTCGTTGGCAACAGCAAACGGAAGTTTTTCTTGTTGTTCTCCAACATTTTACGTTGTTTTTCCAAAAAGTAGATGAAAAACGAAAACTTTGCCCGTTCTTCTGCATTTTCTTAAAGTATATCTATATATTTATATTTATATTTTTGTCAACTTTTGGTTATTTATGCTTTTGTGTGCGAGCGCTCGTTATTTATTTGATAATTTTTGATTCATTTTTATTGGCGTTCGGGCGACATTGTGTCATTCCTCGATGCCTCGACTAAATAAATAGAATACAAGTCAAGTGATTTATTGCATTGGTCATAAAGCGGCGTTTGTATGCGCACATTATCTTATTTGAATCGGATATCTTTTACAATTGCTGGCAGCGGGTCTAGCACGCGCCTTAACTAGGCGCTGGAATTTCGGGGGAACTTTTGGTTCAGCTAACTGAGACTTTATGGGGGACTGAATCCCTATCTCCCCCTCTCTCTCTCTCTCTTTCTAGCTTTCCCAGGTTGTCCATAAAACATTATGATATTTGCATATGAGTGTGCAATTGCTCTGATAAGATCCACTTGAGCTGCGCGCATTAAACATTATGTATACGCCCAGTGGGTCGGGGACTTGAGTGAGTAAACTAATTATTTCATTTGTTGTTGTTGTTGTTACCGGTAATCAGGTTTGGGTAAACATCGATTATTTAATACAATTAGTGTATTGGGGTATCAAAAAAAAAAAAAAAAAAAAAAAAAAAAGCAAATACAACTGTTAGATTAGATAGCTATTGCTACTATAGGTAGCAATTATCGCAGCTCGACTTTGATTTCTATGACTTGTCATTTTGACATAATAAAGCAATAACAACAGCAGCAGCAAGCAAATTATGTTGTAGCCAAATGCGAAATTCAGGCCAGAGAAAAGAAAAAAGTGAACAAGTTCTCGCGGATGGCCTGGCAAATGAATGGCCGGCACGTGTGGCCAAATGTTCGCAGCGGGCAAAACTAATAAAAAGAATGAAAGAAAAATAGCAACTGAAGGGAAATAGCAAACAGCACCAGCAAAAGCAGCAGCAACAACAACAACCACAACAACAGCAACAACGAGAACTTAATGTATGCACGATGATTGTCGCCCGTTGAGATCTGTCGATTTTTCCATGTTTGTTTG